GCCGTTGCCACCGCCTGGGCCCCGCCCCCTCGGCCGCTCGCCCCTTCCCGGGCGGCCGCCGCCTACGCGGCCAGACGCTGTAGGAAGCCTCGGAGGGGCGGAAGTGAGGGGGCTAGGGAGGCGGAGGGCGGGGCCGGGGCGGGGCCGGGGTGGAGCGGTCGGCAGAGTATCCGCGGACTGCAGCTTTGGCTGCTGGCCGGGCACCGCCCCTCTGCCCTTCATTTTGCTTTCCCTGCGCTTTGGTGTAAGTGCGATGTGAGGCATCACCTACAAGCCCCGTTTCCCGACTCTGGACGGCCGGCGGGGGCGAGGGCGGGTCCGGCCCGCCTTCCCGGTGCCATAGCACCGAGCGCCGCAGAACAGAGCGCCGGGGGAGACGACCGGAGCGAGACCCGCCCGTCCCACCCCTTCCCGGGCCGGGGGTTCCCCTAGCGGGTCCCCGTCCCCGCCCGGCTCTTCCTCCTTCCCTTCCGGCCCAATTCGTCGGGTGAACTTCACATCCCCTAACTGGTCACGAGTCACTCATATTCTCCTTCTGCTTTGGCACCCCTGGGCGCGGCGCTGGCACGCACAACACGTTGTCGCCAAGTGGCGCGGGGTAGGGGTCCAGAGCCGGCGACGCGGGAGCGCCCCTCCCCCGCCCCGGCAGCCGCCCTGCGGCTCCCCCTTGGGGACGCGGGGCGCCGCGGGTCCGGGGCGGCTCCGGCACCTGCGCACCCTCGCGGTGCCTCGCCTGCTCAGGGACCAGCAGCGCGGGTTTCACCTTCCACGGCTCTCCAGCGCGTTTCTTCTGTCTCGTTTCACGGCGAACCGAAAACGGGTTAACCTGGGGTGGTTGGAAGCCGTGTTACTGGATCACGCCACTGCCTTCCCAGCCGGCTATTTCCATCCTTACGTAGAGACAGGGAAAACGGGCGCCCTAAACAGCTGGGTGAAGGGACCTCGGAGCTGCAGCAGAGGAATCCCGTTTAGGTTTTGAAATGCTTCCCACGTATTTTCTATTTGGGAGAAGTCTCTCCGTGTGAAAAGTTCCGCCGTCTTCCCACGGCACGGTCAGCAGTGGTAGCCTCTTCTCCAACCCGGCGATTAAATACTGGAGTGGCAGTGTAGACTTAAGAACAGCAAGGGGCTCGAGCAGTTGTCTTTAGTGGAAAACCCTCCGTTTACAGATGAGGAGGTGTAGAGAGGATGAACGCCTAGCCAAGCAATGCCTGGACTAGCCTGATCCGGATTAATGCCCTCCCTGTGGCCCCGCGTGCTTGAGTTGAGACTGCTTCCTTCCCCCAGGTTGTGAAGCGTGCTAATCAGGAGGGAAATGAGGAAAATAACAAATGCCCGCGTAATTTGGTTACCTATATCATGTACCACACCATGTCCCCATATACTTTTTAAAGACTCAGCCATTAAAAAGCATAAATCAGTGTTTGTTTTTAATACTGTTCTTTGCGTTAAATTATTCTCCTCCGGCTGTAACCTCACATCAGCCCACTTGAATAGCCCTTTGGTCCACAACGAACTAGTTAACTGAGTAAAAGAGATGAGAAGACTTCATTAACATGAGCTAAAGATTAAACTTGTATAGACAATATTTGGCCACAAATAAATTTGAAAGCTCTCCATTATGCAAATCAGACTTCAATGACATAGCATTTTCCACCTGATTCTCAAAGTTCAGGGGCGCCTCGGTTAAGCGTCCGACTTCAGCCAGGTCACGATCTCGCGGTCCGTGAGTTCGAGCCCCGCGTCAGGCTCTGGGCTGATGGCTCAGAGCCTGGAGCCTGTTTCCGATTCTGTGTCTCCCTCTCTCTCTGCCCCTCCCCCGTTCATGCTCTGTCTCTCTCTGTCCCAAAAATAAATAAAAACGTTGAAAAGAAAAAAAAAATTAAAAAAAAAAGTTCAAATATAATCTTTTAAAAAAAAATTTTAATGTTTATTTTTATTTATTTATTTATTTATTTATTGACAGAGAGAGAGCACGAGCAAGGGAGGGGCAGAGAGAGAGACGGAGACACAGAATCCTAAGCAGACTCCAGGCTCTGAGCTGTCAGCACAAAGCCGGTCGTGGTGCTTGAACCCAGGGTTGGGAGATCATGACCTGAACTGAAGTTGGGCTTAACCGACTGAGCCAACCAAGGTGCCCCAAAGTTCAAATATAATCTTAATACACTTGGCAAGAATGTGGGGAAGTAGGTACATTCAAGCTTTTTGTGTGTAACGCTGTAGACTGGTACAGCTTATTGGAAGGGAAATTTTGCACATCCTATCAAAAATGTCAAATGCGTATACCTTTGACTAAGCAATTCCACCTTTAAAAATTGTCCTACTGGGGGCTCAGTCGGTTGAGCATCCATCTCTTGGACTCTTGATTTCGGCTCAGGTTATGGTCTGAAGCTTGATGGCATCGAGCCAGAGTCAGATTCTGCTTGGGATTCTCTCCTCTCTTTCTGCCCCTCGCCTGCTTGTGCACGCTGTCTCTTTCAAAATAAATAAACTTAAAAAAAAATTCCTACTGAAAGACTTGCATGTGTGCACAAAAACATGTACAAAGTCCTTGTTCGGACCTTATTTAAAGAAATATCTATATTATCTATCATCCATGATGTACAACCATACCATAGAATACTGCACAGCAGCTGAAATGAACGTACTGATGAGGAAGGATTTCTAAAAATTGTATTACAAAAGTAAAAAGCAGGGGTGCCTGGGTGCCTCAGTTGCTGGCTCAGTGGAAGTCGTCTGACTTCTGCTCACATCATGATCTCACAGTTCTTGGGTTCAAATCCAGCTTCAGGCTCTGTGCTGACAGCTCAGAGCCTGGAGCCTGCTTCGGATTCTGTGTTTCCCTCGCTCTCTCTGCCCCTCCCTGGCTCATTCTCTCTCCCCCCCACCTCCTCTCTCTCTGAATCCAAAGCAGGCTCCAGGCTCTGAGCTGTCAGTACAGAGCCCGACCTGGGGCTCAAACCCACGAGCTATGAGATCATGACCTGAGCCGAAGTCAGACACCCAACCGACTGAGCCACCCAGGCGCCCCTAATTCTGGAAACTTTTTAATGCAATTTACATAATTAATCCATAGAGGTTTTGATCCATATTCATTTAAACCATTAACCCATAAATTTTGAAAAGTTTAAGGGGGCAGGGGGTGTATTGGTAGGAAGATAGACAAATATGAAAACCACCATTCTAAATCATTCTACCCACTTTTCTAGTCATTTGTACCCCACCCTACCCACCCCCCCTTGGCCCATACATTCTAGCTTCCCACTTATCAAACATACCAAGATCTCTCCCGGTTCCTCAAGTTAAAATTCTGTGGGTTTGGTTGGTTTTTTGTTGTTGTTGTTGTTGTTGTTGTTTTTTAAAGCCTCCTCTCTCCTTCCCCTCTACCTCTGGTCAGGCTTCAAATCCTCTGATTTCTTCTCAGATCCCTGTCCTTTCTCATCCTTACAGCCAATTCCCCTGCCCACCCTGAGTCTCTGCTACCGGTGCCTAGATTACAGAAACAGCCTATCAATTAGGTATTTACAGATGACTTTCCATTCAGGTCTCTCTGTCCTTATTGCTCCATTTGCCACAGGGACAGCGTAAAGCTGTGGTCCTAGACCCCGAGAAGCGTAGTGTAGGACCATAAGAGGAGGGGTATATGTGCATGCGAGTGGATTTAAATGTTTGTGTGTTGGGGGACAAGGGTTACAGGAGAGGTGATAAACTTGCAACAATACAAAAGGAGTCTAGTATACCTGAATGCCCTGCGTCTTTTCTGCAGACTTTGGGAAGCTTTTGAAGGCTTTTTAAGTGGGAAGGACACAAGTGATCTGTATTGTTTTGTTTTTTAAATCATTATTCTCCCGATTTGCATTGCACATACTGTCCTGTGGGGACCTACCCCTTCCTAGTTTGGAGTATCCTAGCACCTCCTTTTCCAATACTTTATCTTTTAAATTAATTAATTTTTGAGAGAGAACACAAGTGGAGGAGAGGCAGAGAGAGAAGGATTGAGATAGAATCCCAAGCAGCTCCACTCAGCACAGAGCCCAATGAGGGGCTTGAACTCTCGAACCCTGAGATCATGACCTGAGCCAAAACCAAGAGTCAGGCTCTCAATGACTGAGCCATGCAGGCACCTCTCCAATACTTTCTTTCAAAATATAGGTCAGGGGCGCCTGGTGACTCAGTTGGTTAAGCAACCAACTCTTGGCTTTGGCTCAGGTCGTGATCTCACAGTTGGTGGGACTGAGCCCCACATTGGGCTCTGCACTGACAGCGCAGAGCCTGCTTGTGATTCTCTGTCTCCCTCTCTCTGCCCCTCCTCCCACTCTCTCTCTCTCAAAATAAATAAACACCAAAAAATTAAAATAAAATACAGGTCAAAGTTCAACACAAGGAAGCCTACTCCATACCTATCACCGCCTCCACCAAGTTCACAGACCTTCAGCACTCTTGCGTACATTATCTCATCCGGTGTTGCTTAATGGCTCTTCTATCACAGAGGCATGAGCTGTCTTGCATCTATATATTTCATCAAGCCCAAAAGGTCAGGGAAGGATGTTGTCAATTTTCCCCTAGTTCAGCTACCAGCAGTTGCCACTCCCCA